CCACTAACCAACCGCGACCGCCACCACCACCGCCGCCGTCGGGCACGCACCGGCCGCAACTTCCATTACCACCACGCAACGGCCAAAGGCCCCCCCCCCCCCCGCCTCGCCGCCCCGATCCGCCGCAGCCACTTCCACTTTTACCCGGAGACCAGGAAGTATCTAGATCGCAGCCGCCCCGCGCGCCCTCCCCCACTGTCCTCTTCGGTCAGCCGAATTACGGCAGGGGCGGCGTCCGCGCCATCGAACCCCCCGCCGCTTTCTCCCGTAAGTCAGAGGGACTCACCGTCTTCGAGCAACCCCGCCGCACGCAACGCCCCGCCCCCCCCGCTTCCGCTCCCCCGCCACGCCCAGCGGACCAGCCCCTCCGCCCGCGGGCAGCGCGCGTTTTCGCGGAGGCTCGCGAGAGCTCAAACACGCTGGCGCACTCACTTGCAATTTGGTCGCGCCAACCAATGGAAGCTTGATTGGCAACATGTGGAGGCAAAAACTTCAGGAGCTTTCCTGCACGCACTCCGAAAAGATTTTCACAAAATTATTTTGGAGCAATTCGTTTATGACTCATAACGCAATCTCAATTCGTTCTTTCCAGATGGTCATCCCAATGTCACCCGAATCAATTTTTGCCTGCATTTATCCACGACTTTTATTTTTTTTAAAGTTATGTACAAATACAAACTTGGAAGAGACAGGGAAAGAAACGCCTGGACGGAACGTTTAATCTGCAATATGTCTTCCTGTACCCATTAATATCAGCTTCGCTAAGAGTGGAGACTTGCAATAAACTTACCTGATAATAGGAAGAAAATCTGGCAATGCCCAGACATGTTGCATTGATATACGGCCCAGAGAGAAAAAAAGAAAGAGAGAGAAAGATAGAAGAATGAGAGAGATAGAAAGAATGAGAAAGATAGAAAGAATGAGAAAGTTAGAAAGAATGAGAAAGATAAAAGAATGAAAAAGAAAGAAAGAATGCAGAAAGAAAGAAAAGAAATGAGAAAGAAAGAAAGAATGAGAAAGAAAGAAAGAATGAGAAAGAAGAAAAAGATATGAGAAAGAAAGAAAGAAATAAGAGAAAGAAAAGAAAGATAGAGAAAGAAAGAAAGATAGAGAGAGCAAAGAAAGAAAAGAAAGAAAGGGAAGAGAAAAGAAAAGCGAGAGAGCAGGCAGAGAGAGACAGCTTGAACAAAATTATACCTGACGGAGGTATCCAAAGTTTCATTTGGAAGATGAAGGAAAATATAAAATTTTCAAAATTTTCTTAGAAATTCTATGTAACTCTAATATTTCATAAAGTTTCCATAAGTTTACATCAATTTAAAACTGATGATATTGGGTGACATGGGTCCACTCTCAGCATAGAAGAAAGTAATTCTTAATAATAGGAAATCGGCACCATAGGAGAAATTGTTATCTCATTTTCATGTACGTGGTGCCAAAAAATAAATCACAATCTAATATGTATCTATTCTCATTTAAATGGTATACGTGTAAATAAACATAGACTTTCTAAGGAGAGAATATTCAATGAATCAAGCAAAGTAATAACAGAATTTTTTCCCTTTTAAAATTAACCGGAATTGTTTAATTATTATTAACGAGTTCCTCCTGCGAACAGGTAGCGCAAGTCTTCTTCGATGGTTTTCCTTCATAGCGTTCGTTGTAAACTGACATTCAATGCCAAATTGGTTAAGGACAAAGTCATATTCTTCCAGAAAGATTTCGTGCAATGTTTTCCCGCAGGGGTAACAGCGTTGTCCATTCTCACCTCCTGGAGAATCTATATTGGTTTACCGAGTTGCTTCTTTAATCTGTGTGCCAAAGTTTACCTCAGACTTCGTGTGAGAAACCCGTGGGTTCTGAGAAATCATTTGTGAGGTGTCACGTAACCTTTCAAAGCTTTAACACTGCTTCTGGTTTGTGTGTTTTGACGATTAGTTTTACGTGGTCTGTCGACCAACACTTCTGTGTGTTTGAGATGACGTATGACAAAATCTTCAATTTACTACCGATTGTTTCGACACGATGATATTCCAGTAAACATTGATAAGGTTTGATAATAAGTTACATTAGGCCACCTATGTAAAAATTTTTTTTTTGGGGGGGGGGCCGGGTTTGTTTTGTCTAAAAAATTGTTTGGGGGGGGGGAAAAAAACAAAACATATTAGAGGAGATGTAAAATATGAAATTGTGTAAGCCCCCTAGAATTGCCTATTAGGTCTCATCTAGGCCATCACCTATCGCAGTTAGTTATTTCTCGTAATTGAATGAGACAACCGTGAAATGTAAGGAGAAAAAAAGCTAGAAAAAGTTTGTCATGACTTATTCCGCTACAATTGAGGATTGGTATTAAAGGTTCTCTTGTTCGACACATTGTACTGCTCAAACATACATTGATGCAATGTGATAACACTCAATAAATAATGCAGAAAAATAATTAAATGAAGTGTAATTTAAAGTCCGGTTTAGAATTTAAATAATACTGTAGTGATTATTAATCTCACTTGTGATTTCAGAACGTTCCTACACGTACGAGGCAAAATGATAAACGTATGAGTACGTTACTGCACTGAAAAACTTTTCCAATATTCACATCAGCGATGTACGAATGCGCCCAGACATATTTCATACGTCCCTGCGCGCAGTACTTCAAGGAATACTTAATTGGCCAAGACATTGGCAAGGCATCGCCGATGCTTTTCGATCGCTTACTCAATCGCTCACGCCGCCTGCTCTCGAAACGCCATACCTACTGATTGTGGGCCTTGTTTCCGAAGCATCGGAAAAACCGCCCTCTGCGTTTAAAGTATGCTATCACTGAAAAATAAAATAACAATTTTGTGTCTATGTTGTGTTTCCTCTGTACATTTGATTTCTTTATGCTTTAGAGATCAACTAAAAATTTTAATTTTTTTCTCTATATGTTGTAAGTAATTGCTAAAATGGAGGATCATTCAACCATCTAATCTAGAAAGAAATATATATTTAATTATTTTTTCTTAATAAATCAAAATTGATGTTATAGTGAATGAAATGAAATGTAAAATATTGTAAAAACTAAAGAGCCAGGCAAATTGGTTATTTGAGGGGAAAAACAATAATCTGTCATATTAAAATTTGTCTGACATTTCGTTCGTTTAACTGAAACTTTTTAAAGGAGGTTTAACAGCATTAAACTATTTCTAGTTCATTCATCTAGAGTAAATAATGGTATATGTTGCCAGAAAGTATGTATATTATTATATTTTATAGTTTATGATATCTGATGTTCCAATATGACATCAGGATGTTCGAAATGTTAAAACCCAGAACAAATTTCATACTCCACAATGTTCATACGTCAATCTGCGCGAATTTTGCTGAAAATTTTTAAATTCCGTAAAATTACATTCTATGTTTCAACCTTACTAAGGACGTTGCCTGTTGACACTCGCTTCGAAAAAAACAAATATTTGCCTCCAAAAAAATAAGGGAAATGTTTAGCGAGAAAACTTTTTGAAAGCATGGTATTACGAACACGGGTTATCCTTGCAGGGTACTCCCCCCCCAGCGGAGGAACCGCCCAACCTTGACAAATCTAAGCTTCTCGTCTGCTCCTCTTTGAGATGATTATGTAGTAGTTGTAGTGCATGTAAGTTGTGTATGTTTGAAGCCAAAGGGGAGTTGGTTAGAAAAAAGATTGATTGTAGGAAAAAAAAAGTTTTTTCGCGCCAAAAAATTTCTCCCCCCTTTCCTTTCGCCCCACCCCCCGCTCCGCTCCCCGCCACGCCCAGCGGACCAGCCCCTCCGCCCGGGGCAGCGGGCGCGTCTTCGCGGAAGGCTCGCGAGAGCGCAAACACGCTGCGCACTCACTTGCAATTTGGTCGCGCACAATGGAAGCTGATGCAACATGTGGAGGCAACTGTCAGGAGCTCTCCTGCACGCACTCCGAAAGATTTCACAAAAATTATTTGGAGCAATTCGTATGACTCTAACGCAATCTCACATTCGTTCTTTTCCAATGGGTCATCCAATGTCACCCGAATCATTTTTGCCTGCATTTATCACGACTTTTATTTTTTTTAAAGTTATGTACAAATACAAACTTGGAAGAGACCAGGAAAGAAACGCTGAACGGAACGTTAATCTGCAATATGTCTTCCTGTACCCATTAATATCAGCTTTCGCTAAGAGTTGGAGACTTGCAATAAACTTTCTGATAATAGGAAGAAATCTGCAAGCCAGACATGTGCATTGATATACGGCAGAGAGGGAAAAAAAGAGAGAGAAAGATAGAAAGAATGAGAGAGATAGAAAGAATGAGAAAGATAGAAAGAATGAGAAAGATAGAAAGAATGAGAAAGATAGAAAGAATGAGAAAGAAAGAAAGAATGAGAAAGAAAGAAAGAATGAGAAAGAAAGAAAGAATGAGAAAGAAAGAAAGATAGAGAAAGAAAGAAAGATAGAGAAAGAAAGAAAGATAGAGAGAGAAAGAAAGAAAAAGAAAGAAAGGGAGAGAAAAGAAAAGCGAGAGAGAGGGAGAGAGAGACAGCTTGCAAAATTTCCTGACGGAGGTATCCAAAGTTTCATTTGGAAAGGAAAAATATAAAATTTTCAAATTTTCTTAGAAATTCTATGTAACTCTAATATTTCTAAAGTTTTCCATAAACGTTTACATCAATTTAAAACTGAGTGATATTGGGTGACATGGTCACTCTCAGCAGAAGAAAGTTAATTCTTAATAATAGAAATCGGCAACATAGGAGAAATTGGTTATCTCATTTATCATGTACGTGGTGCCAAAAATAAATCACAATCTAATATGTATCTGATTCTCATTTAAATGGTATACGTGTAAATAAACATAGACTTTCTAAGAGAGAATATTCAATGAAATCAAGCAAGTAATAACAGACATTTTTTCTTTAAAATTAACCGGAATTGTTTAATTTATATATTAACGAGTTCTCCTGCGAACAGGTAGGCGCAAGGGGTCTTCGATGGTTTTCCTCATAGCGGTCGTTTAAACTGACATTCAATGCCAAATTGGTAGGCACAAAGCTCATATTCTTCCAGGAAAGATTTCG